CAAGGCATAGTCAGCGGATGAGCTGCAGGCACGTACTGTTGTTATTGCGCGTCAATAAAATAGTTCTATACAAAAAGAAGTTGAATCAATTTGATCCTGTTTTATTATCCTGATTACGATATTTTTAACCGAAATTTTGAAATTTAATATTATTCTTCAAGCCTGTTTAAGTTTATTTAAGGGGGTGGTGAGCAAAGGAATCGTTCAGTCTCCGTTCTGTTATAGAAAGTACTCTTGCACGTCCTACATCACACATCGCGCTGCGATTCGTCCGTTGAGGTCTCAGGACATCTGTCAACCGTGAGCCTTGGCGGTTCAGCGTTTTGTAGTGATGTCTGGGAGCTCTCACAAGTGCACACTATCACAGCATCTCCTCTTTCTTTATCTTCTTCAAAGGCTTAGTCCCAATAAGACACAAAGTGTGTGCTTTTCCAGCTACGCTCTCACCCTTTGGTTGACAGAAGCCTTGTAACCGTCCGTTGACTCTGCCTTCTTGCCACGCGACGGGCCTCCTGTCGGGTACCTTTTTTTTCTTACGATTAGTTCCTCAAAGGCACTGATTAGGATAGGGAGACTTTGCGCTCGAAAAAAGTGCAGAGATGCGAAATGGAACGCCAGTAAAGAGAAAACGGAAGGAAGCCTGACAAGGCCAAAAATATAGCTTCCGATAGATGATCGAACCCAAACAATAATAGTACTTTTAGCGAGACCGGCAGTAATTTGGGAGACTAGATAAACCTGTAATACATTTCCAGCACAGACCACATATGGGGCCGTACGCTATCCTCCCCCAAGGGTTAGGGGCAGGGTCTGTCCTATCGTTGTTACTTTTCGAAAAATTTTACGACCCCCCTCCCCCAACGTGGATTTGATACGACCCCCTTTTATATAGTCACTCTGAAACGGTAAATATCTCCGAAAATTTCCTTCTATTTCCACCATTTCAACCCATTTTTTACCTATACTCCCACTACTTCCTTTTTTATCCTGCGCGCCCTCCACTCGCCCAGCCTACTACCCAATCTTAGTTTCACCTCAATCCCACACGTGATTTCGAGCGACTAAAGTGGGTACGACCCCCCTCCTACAAACTCAACCAGGTACGACCCCCCCCGTTGTTACTCGTAGGGTTGACCCTGGTTAGGGGACGAAAATTCCTTTTTAATTATGCATGCAGGTGAAAGTAAAATGCACTGAAAAAGAGGAAACTATATCGTTCAAAACAAATAAATTTGAAGGAATCTTCTGATCATCTAGCTTAGGGGAAGGATAGCATACGGCCCGTGAAGAAACACTACTTATCAAGGATGGGCACACTATCAGAAGATAAGTTGAATCATACAGGTTATCAGGAGAAGTTCAGCTTAGTTCACTTGATACTTTGCAGCGATTCGGTGGAGTCGCCCGGTAACAAGAGAAATCCTCTGTCAAACCTTGATCCGCGAATTGAGGTGAGTGCCAGCTTATTCAAAGCTTATGAGATCACGGCGCTTATGTCCTTGTGGGGGGGGGCATAAAACTGAGAGAGCTAGCTGTTGTGCTCAGGCCTAAGCCAGAGAGCGAACGGATCCTGAGGGCTTGTGGGCAACTCGTGTTCTCAATGGCGTTTCTCCACATTACTAGACTTGACCTAGTCTCACCTACAATCGGCCCTGTCTTGGATGTCCCCCCCCCCCCCCCAAGGACATGAGCAAGACCATTATTTTACGAATGTTAAGGTTGGTGGCGACGCCGACTAGGTTGGCGAGAGGGAGGGGGGGTACGTCAACGCTACCATTGCGCAATTGGCGGGGACAGTGACTGTTACGTAATGATGATCTTTCTTTCAAAAATCCATTTGCCCTTCACTTTGTGCAGATTCGGGTTATCTCTTCCTTCGGCCCCTGGGACTACGCTCAATAGAAAAGGGGAAGAGGAACTTGCGAAGGGAAACGGAACGCCGCCCCAAATTGGGTGTGTATCAAGTGGTGCGAATGGAAATTTTAGCACCTAATTAGTGCTGCGTCGCGACTAGGTGCGAAGTGACCTCAAATCTTGGCACTTAATTAGTGCTGGCTGGCGATTGGGCGCCAGCTATCTGTGGGCGAGACGCGCCGTACATGTCCATAATGGTGCAAAGGATTGGAGAACAGCGATTTTGGAAGCGGCAAAGGAGATTTCAGATAAAATGTGGTTATTAATTTATTATTGCTAGTTTTTAGACTTCTGACTCCTGGGAACAAAACAAAGTGAATTGATGCTCATATTTATTATTATTACTATTGCTATTATTATTATTATTGTTATTATTATTGTTGATTATTATTATTATTATTATTAGTCACTACACTTTCTAGCTAGGTTTGAAAAATCAAGTTGAAGAACACCAGAAAAAAAAACGAAAATAGCGGCTTGGGGAAGCTGGATGTTGTGGGGAGACGTGCGTTTCTCCTCCTGGGGTCAGGTCACCACAGTTGCGCGATCATTGAAGCTTAAGGTTAAGTTTGGGTTTAGACTTAGGTTAAGGCTTATGCTTACACATTGGCTTATGCCTAAGCCTATATTGGGCCTAGGCTTTAGTCCTACGCTTGCTCCGAGCGAATGAACAGGCGTCTCAATTTTAGGGTGAGCCTGACCCCAGGAGGAGAAACGCTACGCCACGGCGATGGTTGCAGATTCGTGGTGTGAAGCAACAGCGGAAAGTGTAGATGGGTCATGCGGTTGAATGGGGCTTTCGAGTACGAAATATGAAGGCGACGGTGTTGGCAAAACAATCTCAGGTGGGGCAGGACATACGAAGCATGAAGGGGAAGGTGCTGACGGAAGGGTTTGGGGAGGAGGTGGGCCTTCGGAAATATGAAAAGGAAGGTGCCGGGATTGGGGCTTGGGGAGAGGGCTAAGGTGTCGAGGTAGAAGGGCAAGGCGTCAGCAGATTGTGGGTCGAAGTGGGAGAAATAGGTGTCGGAGAACATGGCAGCACAGTGGTCTGGCTATTACAAACAGTCGCTAATGAGTGCTCACTTACCTGCTTAAATGACCGCGAATGACCTCTCAAGAGGGTGTGAAACTGGCCTGGAGACTTTCTAGGTCATATTTGAGGTGTGAAAGGTCAACAAGCACATCACAATAATAATAATGATCAATAATAACAATGATAATAATAATAATAGCAATAGTAATAGTAAAAATTATGAATATCAATTTACTTTGATTTGTTCACAGGAGTCATAGTAATAAATAATAATAATTATGAACATCAACTTACTTTGATTTGTTCACAGGAGTCAGAAGTTTAAAAACCAGTAACAATAATTTAAGCACATTTTATCTGAAATCTCCTTTGCCGCTTCCGAAATCGCTGTTCTCCAATCCTTTGCACCATTATGGTGCATGTACGGCGCGTCTCGCCCACACATAGCTGGCGCCAATCGCCAGCCAGCACTAATGAAGTGCAAAATTAGAGGTTTTACTTCGCACCTATGTCGCGACCACGCAATTGAATTAGGTGCTATAAAATTTCCCATTCGCCGCACTTGATCACACCCCCCACATTCCATTCCCCCCCTCCAAAGCTTAGTCCTATCGATCCACGACAGCGTCCACTGTTGGCGATCGTACATAGGATGAGGCTATGATTCACGAAGAAAGTGTACGCATCGATCGGCTTAGGCGAAGTAGGCGAGTAGAGCTAAGGAAAGGACTGTGTGTCTCGATTCGTTGCCTTTACCATTGAATCGCTTAATCGCCTGCCATTCTAAGACCTACTCGCCTCAATCGCCTGATCGATATGTCGCGCCGCCTTCGACTAATCGCCTAGTCGCGTGTACGATCGCCAACTATGAACACTGCCGAGGGCTCCGACGTCCATTGCGTACGGTGGACCTACCGTAGCCAAATCGGCATACCCGCCTAGCCTCACACCAGAAGTTTCCTCCTTGACTCGTCTCTCTCCTTTCGCGCATCCTCTCATCTTCTTCATCTCAGACGCCTGAGGAAATTATTGGAAACGTTACACTTACCATTAACCCTTTGGGCAGCCTGTGCACTTGAAACTTTGCCCGGCAAGTTGATGCAGTCCACTCCAGGGTGACACGGATTATCAAGACATTCGTCGACATCAACACATGTAGGATTCAGCTTGTCATCTGACACCTTATAACCCCAATCACAGATGCATCTGTATGTGCTCTGGAAAAGGAAAATCGATTGCAGTTTCTTCTCAGAATCTCAAGACATTGCATATTACCGTGATCTAGCATCTGTTCTGATGTGTCGCGTATGGCAGTGACCATGTGTCCGCACAACTCAATTGACTTTGAGCATGTGGACTGGCGATACTGACAGAGAGGGCCGTGGTAGCCAGAGCGACATTGACATCTGGAAACATGGATATTAGAATTAGCCTGAAATGTGAACTGGGTGCGAGAGAGCTTTAGGCATGACCCTCATGGCTCGCTCATCCACAGCATGCTCGTTACGCGTCCCACGTACTCTCATACAGGGTCAAACGCGTCACGTTGGACAAATTTAGAATTTCAGCGACCCCCCCCCCCCTGGAGAGCCTCGTCCACCCCTAGTATTAGAATTTTGAGACACTAGCCCAACTCCACGCCCACATTTGCCTCCAAAATAGCCCGTCGAGCGGGGAAGGGGGTATAGAAACGACTATTTTTTTTTTCTTAGCACTCACAAAGCGTAAAGCGTCACACTACGACCCCACCCCCATCAGAACGGGCCTTGATGCTGCCTCGCCGACGCTAGCGAATCACCGCCCCTCCCCCTTCGTTTGGACTTTCTTCCTCGGACGGTTCGACCTGCTCTCAAATGCAGACACAGGCGTTTACATAAATGATGCATAGCATCGCAACCTCACTCTTGATTTTATCAAGGCCTTCACCAGTTCGTTGTACCTTGATCGCTATTCTCCAGCATCAGAACCAATGAAAAATGTGGCGAAAAATTGAAAAATAAATATCACGTGTGATTTCTGAATCTGTGATTATTTATTCTAGGCCTTTGTAGCCTCGCCTGGATACGGGAGACAAACGGTTGCAGGACAAAATCTTGCCGATAAGTGCGCGCGCAGAAGCACATGTGAGGACGGCATCAAAAAATTGATATATTCTTTTCGAAGGTCTCGATGCCTCATGACGACGTTGTGTTGCAATGTCTGCATTATCACGTTATCGGCTGCGAGAAACAAAGTCTGTTGGCTTTCTTCCACCCATGGCTAGAAACACCTTGAACTCACCGGAAACCTGTGTCGTGATTCTCACATGTTGCATTGTTCTGGCATCCTGCATGGGTCCCTTCATAGATGGCGCATTCGTCGATGTCCTCTTCACAGTTTTCACCCTGAAAGCTCTCAGCGATAACTCAAAGCCCAAATTGTGTTAAAACTGGCAACGTACAGTACGGTACGGAGGACACAAACAGTTGTACTTCTTGCCGAATCGTGGCAGGCAAGTACCACCGTGTTGACATGGCTTGTTCGCACATCCGTCCATGGCCAATAGGTCGGCTAGGGCTCTGAAAAGAAGCTACTCGCTACACGGCGCTATTTATTGTACTTGGGAGGGGCATCCTTATGCGGACCGATCCTAGGAGGAAAAGAGAGACTTCGAGGAGAATGAATTGCTCACACATCCTTGCCCTAACCCGCCCCCTCCTGAATGTTAGACCTTGAGGGGACTTTGGAGAACAGTACCTGATATAGGTACGCGACAGGAAGCCCGGCGCGCTGCGAGAAAAGCAGAGGCGGGGACGGGTGTGGTAAGCGGACGAGTTGCGGCTGTCGTGCTGTAGCGATTGAGCGTCAGGTTAACAGAATGTTCCATATTACGTCCCCCATTGACAACAAGCGATTCGCACGCCGATCCGTCTGCGTCTCTGCCTTCTCGCCACACGACGGGTCTCCTGTTGGGTACCCGACCGTAGTACACCAGCGCCAAGAACTATATAAGTCAGTGGTCGTTTGAAATGCACCATTAAATTCTCTTTATAAAGCAAAAATGTACTATCGGGATTACATGAAAGTGCGCGAGAATTAACCATGTCTCATGAAAGGCGATGATTTTTCATGATTTTGCGATATATTAAGGGGATTATTTCTCGGTTCTTCAAACTTCTCCAAATTTTTGCATTGACTAACTTGAGGCTCCTTTGTAATCGTCCCATAAATCGCCGTATTCTCACATCTTTGACCGTCTTATTCTGACGCCATTCTTGTAGTTCATTGACTTTCTTGGTCGTGTTTGCTACCTGAAACAAAGCAAGGGTTATGGAATGCCAAACCTTTGGCCACAATTGGAGTCCTAGTTATGGGCGTGAGATGCCACCGACTGCAGTATTTGTCGTGACGCTGTTGCAACCAATATGAGAGTAGATTGATGTGACTCGATCCTGGACTTGAATGTGTCCTGCCGAGCCGAAATTGCCTCTACCCTCAACTTCAAGTCCGAGAATTAGATTCTGGAAATGGTGTTTACTATTATGAAATCATGAATCGTATAACTTGAAAAAACATTTTTTTTTTTTTTTAGTTGGGCGGGGAAACGGGAGAGGGGGAGGGCGAATAGGCAGTCCATTATCGCTCTGAAGTCGTCCATATTTTGCAGAGGAGAGAACCTGTGTGGTCTAACAAGCGGAGGAACAAAATGGTTAAAGACACTCCGGGAATTTTCCCAGCTTCCACAAGAAAATGGAATTTCTGCAGGTTGACATGTGAGTGTCTACCACATGCCCCTCCTGCCCTACTTAATGAAACTCAAAACTGCGCCCATTGAGGTGTTAACCGCAGCATTCGCTTAGGCTTAGAGAAGAAGAAACAGGCTATTACCCAGTTGTTTGGCACACACGAAGTTAGCCGCTGCGCGTGTCGGAGGACATTTGATGGAGTCGGCCCCCCCCCCCACTTCCAAAAGCTGGGCGACCTCCCTCTCCAAGAAACACGTGAGTGAAAGTGTAATTATTTTTTCCTTTGAAAAAGTGAATTTCTCTTGAAAATTGAACAACATCGTTTCTCCCGGCAAAGCCTTCCGAAGAGATTCCCCTTATCCTGACAAATGCTGGTCAAGTATGGTGGCCATTTCGAGAATTTCGGGTCTTGGTTTACTCTGGCTCGATATTTACTCCTGGAGATAGGGCTCCTTTTCTGCGTCAGGATGTTAGAGGGACTTTTAGCAATGCGTTTTCCACTTTTTGTGCTGCAGAGCAGATATTTACAAGAATTCAATTGTGAATACATTCAAAATAGGCGTAAGCGCTAAGCATGGAAGTGCTAAGCGAAACACCAATTCGGTCTCCCTTTACCATTTACATCTCCACGTACGCAGTTCGTATCAGGCAGGGCTAACTCTCACCTGTGGGCAATTGGGACAAGTTTTGAAAGTGGAAGTCCCTACTAACAAACTCGAGACCTGCTACTACTTGACACACTGCAACTCCGCCCACAAAACTCCACGACCCGTCGGGTGGGAGAAGGGTTGAAACAGCAAATCCTGAGAAGTTCACAGTCTACGCCTAATTCCTTTCCAAAAGCCCCAGATATGTCCCCTCTTAGAAATTACAAACACGACCCTTTCGTCGAACTTGAAACAGCGAGTGTTTTCCTCCAGTCCCTATGATTTCAGGTGAGAGTGTGATCGCTCGCCAAGTATTCCATAGCTTTAGCTTGCGTGAACGAGACATTTAAAAAGAGTTGGAGTCTGTAATTATCTTCTACCTAGCTCACACGCAAACTATAAAACGCCCGCTCTTCATGTACCTGAGTGGGCGATCACCTGACGCCTACAAGCCCCTCAGGGAACTTGATTTACACAGAAATGTTAATGGCTTTTTTTCTGCAGGAAACGCAACATGCATGCAATGGCATAGCTGACTCATTGCCGTTATTCGCATTTAATCATTCATCAGCGCTGTTTCTAATAAGCCAAGTTTCTCTTGTCTCACTAACCTCAACAAAGGAAGGAACCAAGTCGAAGTGTTCCTCTAATCGTAACATGAGACATGCATTGCTAGTTGTTTCAAATCTGCAGAACTTGGGGTTGTTCTGATGGTTATGAGTTAATCAGGAAAGCGGTAGCGATCTTCACGCATAGGCGAAAGGCTGTGGGATAGACTTGGTGAAGAGTTTCCTTCAAAACCGCGCTTTCTGGGGATGTTGGGCTCTTTAACACGGATTATATTATTCTCGTTTGTTACGAAAGCACAAGAAACGTGCGCTACGGGCAATCACAGGCAAACATGTAGTGCCCAGTTATGTTAGCAGTTCCTCTCAAGCCCCTTTTGCAGCCAACTAGGTAAGGGGAAGGTAGATAATAATTGCACAAATTTGGTGCTTTGCTTTTATTTTAGCCAAGTCAAGCTACTGAAAAAAAAACAAAGCACAAACTTGTCTAGGAATCAATCCCGCAACCTCTTTCCTAATAACTGAGTCCATTAGCATTGCCCTGTGCCTTATGACTATGTTCAGAGAACTGTTTCGTATGGTCAAAATGCAGATTCGAGATCATCGTTCAAAAACCTCATATAACGATGTATGTCTCATTTCGAATAGCCACCGACCTGGGTTCTTCGATTGTCACTGGGCCTGGCAGTTCTCGTGTTTCTGTCGGATAGCTTACTTTTTCACTACCGTACCACTTGGCACCTCTGCCTTCATTTATATCTGATCAATATAAAATTGTCGTAAGGACCACCTTCATATGCTCTTAATGGAGGATCACGATAAGGACGGAGGTTTAAGAAGGGGAAACTTACTTAGTGGAAATACAGACGGACCTCGTAGCGGTGCGGACCGACAAAGCAAAGGATTCGAAGCAAAGGATGTGCCTTCGGTGATCTACCACCGCCATTCCCGCTCCGCTACCAAAGCGGTCTGGTCCCAACGCCCACCATCTCGCCGTCTGGCTCTGGTCCTTAGCAAAGAGAGCGCAAGCGTTGAAGAGAGCAGCACTGACGTGAGTCGCATCATTGCGGAACCAAAGAGCAAGGGAAAGGTCCCATTTCTCGGATTATGGTTTTCATTTACCCGGCCCCACTATCCACCTCTACCTTGGTTGTAATCTAATCGTAAACTCCGCCTTCAATTTAAAGAGTTGCGAGTGGTTTCTATGAAAACG